GTTTATTTGGACTTTAACGTTGGTCTGACCCATGGTAAATGCTGTTGTAATTTTTTTTATTAATTTTTAGTTATAATATAATATTGTACATAATTTTCTATTAATTTTTATTTTGTTATAAAATAATAAAAAACTAGAGAGAAAAATAAATAAAAATAGAGAGAATATGAAGAGAATCCGAGAGTGCGTTTATTATTGATGCGAAACCACATATATATAGTTACATAAGTGGAAAGAGTCCTACACAAATCAGGAAGATAGAGTTCGCAATAATTAAGAATACAGACTTCTAGCTTATATAAGACGTCTATTTATTTTATAACACTCCCCATTGGATGTCCATTCTTCAAAAAATATGTCTCGTTAAAACCTTCTAAGGAAAAATCCTGTGGGAAAAAAAATCTTAATGATGGAAAAAGAGTACATTATTCGCAATAATTAAGAATACAGACTTCTAGCTTATATAAGACGTCTATTTATTTTATAACACTCCCCATTGGATGTCCATTCTTCAAAAAATATGTCTCGTTAAAACCTTCTAAGGAAAAATCCTGTGGGAAAAAAAATCTTAATGATGGAAAAAGAGTACATTATTCTTTTCTTCAATATGAGTTGAAATATTGCCTCATTAAAAACATTTATCAGGAAAATCCAGTGGGAAAAAAAACCTTGGTTAAAGGGAAAAAGAGTATAAATGCATATTTACTTCCCCTCATGTTTGTTATAATATAACTCATATATATCTTGCAAATAAATTTAGCTATCTTACAAATATATATTTAACTCTATTCAATTTCTTCACATTTAAGAAGAACTATATCTTGCAAATAAATTTATAAAATGCTTATATTTAGTCATATGACTAGCAAGATACTAAGATATGGTACTTCAGACCAATAAATTCTTCATAATTTTTTCAAAGTCGAAAAATGGTCATCTTCTCATTAAGTGATCTCACTACTATTCACATAAAATCATTTGAATAACTTAGTCATATATGTGGATTCATGGACAAAATTTCATTTATGAAATACTCGACCTTCAGCTCAAGACAAAACTTTGTATTTTCAATGTTTTTCATCTCAAACTCTTTCCTTAAGGAATTCATAATCTTTGAAAGCTCTTCAAGAGTTCCAATAATATTTATAATCAAATAGACAAATTCATATTCAAATATCTCTATAAAAATTCATTAACATATAACAATATTATTAAAATATCCTTTCAATAGATATTCACAAATCAAGAGATCACCTTACTCATGATAGTATATAAAGTAAATATCAAAAGTATGCTTTCAATAATAAAATATTATAAAAATTTCAAAAAGTAATGCTTTCAAATAAAATATTATAAAAATAATATAATCAATAAAATAATATAAATATTTTCTCTTAGCACATAAACATCATTAAAAGCAATTATACCAAATGTATTCAGATTTCTTTAAAAATCCTTAATCCATATAGAAATCTTGAATATATTTCTCGGGGTCTCGATTTGCTTGCTTCAAGCATTTTTCAATATTTCATGGATATCATTATCTGCAATCTATAAGATGAAAAACAGAATTTGGAGAGAAAAAAATGAACGAAAAACGTTGTAATTATTATTGAATGTTCTGCATTTTTTCTAACATAATACAGAAGCAATTGTCTTTTTAAACTAATATTCTGCTAGGAATTAAGCTATTCAAGGACTCCTATTACAACACATATTCTTTAATTATTAAACCTTATCACTCCTATAAATCAGCCTTATCCCTCCATTATTTACTCAAATCGGCTGCCTTGGGGATTTCTAGAATAATCTACCTTATGGCTCCTTAATATTCTATTATCCCCCCCTCAAACTATGGCGAGGGCTGAGACGAGGGCTGAGACATAGTTGGTGAATGAAAGATCGAATGGCAGACTTGGAGACAGAATTTGGTAAAATATGTCCGCGAAGTTTGTTGTGGCGGTATTGAACAATATTTGTAATGAGGAGTCCTTTGTAGCAACTCTTTCCTAACAAAATGATAGTCTAACTGCGATGTGCTTTGCTTCGAGCATGCCAGATGGATTTACAGAAAGATACAATGAACTCAAATTATCACAATATAAAACTGGAATTGAACTAGGAACCCGAAGTTCTTGAAGTAAAAACGTGAGCCATGTGAGTTCAGCTGCTGTATAGCTGCTGTATGTGCCATAGCTCTATACTCAGCTTCCGTACTTGAACGAGATACGGTACTTTGTTTTTTGGCACACCAGGAAATGATATTCTTGCCGAGGAAGGTACAATACCCAGTTGTTGAACGGCGTGTTGCGGGACAACCTGCCCAATCAGCATCAGAATAAGCCTTAAGCTCAAGCGTCAAATCCTTTGTTATTTTAATCCTTTGTTATTTTGATTCCAAGCTCGAGCGATCCTTTGATGTAGCGTAGTATTCTATGAATGAGTTTCATGTGTGAGGTTGTAGGAGCTTGCATAAATTGTGACGCATAGTTGACACTGAAGGCAATATCCGGCCGCGTTAGAGTGAGATACTGCAGTGCTCCAATGGCACTTCTGTAGACAAAAGGATCGGCCAGTGATTTGGCTTCTTTGAAATCATGCTTCGTGTATTGTGGGCTTGGCATTGGCTTACAATCCTGCAGTTGAAACTTCTTTAAAATAGAAAGAGCAAAGTTAGTTTGTGAAAGATGGAACCCATCTGCCGTTGTTATAACTTCCATTCCCAAAAAGTGATGAATAGGACCAAGATCTTTCATGTTAAATTCACTGCATAAAAGCTCCAGAAAAGATTTGATTAATTTATCACTACAGAACCCAGTTAAATAACAAATGTCATCCACAATAAACCAATAAAAAGCTAACGTTTCCTGAACCATAATGGCAAAATGAAAAGTGATGGATCAGCTAAAACTACAAATAAAACCATTGAGAAATTAAAAAATTTTAACTCAAGCACGATTCAATAACCAGGCCCGTGGCGCTTGCTTCAATCCGTACAACGCAATTTTTTAGTTTTGCAGAACATATGACGCCCTTTGTGAATCAACAAAATCCAGGGGCTGAGACATGTAAAGATCTCGTTCCACCATAGCCATGAAAGAAATGCGTTCTTGACAATCCAACTGTTGTACCTGCCAATTTTTAATCAACAGCAATAGAAAGTACAAGGCGAATTGTACCCTGGTCGCACAACAGGAGAAAAAGTTTCAAGAAAATCAATTCCATCTACTTGGATTGTATCCTTTTGCTATCAAAGGCGAGCTTTCAAGCGTTCCAAAGTACCATCGCATAAAGCTTTTTACTTTAAAAAACACCATTTCGCTCCCTATAACGTTCATATCTGCTTGTTCTTGGGCACAAGATCCATTAACAATTTTTTTTTCCAAGGCTTGAAATCTGCTCCTCCAATTGCCTTCTTCCATCCCTGGATGTGCAAATCATCCTGGATGTGCAATTGCTTCTTTTATTATTCTGGGTTCTGCTGGAATTGAATCTATCGTTGTAACAAGCAAGGCACACTTCGGATTGGGTTTCACTATTCCACGCTGAGATCGAGTTACCATAGTATGCTGTCGAGGTGCCTGTTGAGCTGATGCATCCGATTCTGTTACACCAATATCTGTAGCAGCTGCTGAAATTTCAGTACTCGCACAACTCCCTTCAGTTGAAACAGAGACTGTGTTATTTTCTGAAGATTGCTGAGGATGAGATTGTGCAGCCTCCTCATAATTCTCCTCAGTATTCGAATCAGCTTCGACGTCTATATTGTTCCCATCGGACTGATTTTCCGTCGGTGGCTGTGCAGTATATTCGTCGGAAGAGGCTTGCCGCTCCTGGTCAACTCGAGTTTCTTCATTATTTTGTAAAGCCTCCGTTCCGCCAGACGCATCAACTGACTGAGTTCGCATGACAGTTAAATCAGCTGCGACTTGAGGATTTTGAGCAGTCCCTCCTGAAATCGTTGGAATAAAATTGCATGCAGAATTAGTGACAGTTTTCGACGGCATAATCCATCAATCAATTAGATTAAGAACAAGCTGAGAATCTGGAGTTTCTTTTGATTTATACGGAAAGTCAGTTTCATCAAATGTGATATGTTGAGAAATTATGAACTTCCGCTGTTTTGGGTCATAGCATTTATAACCCTTGTACTGCTCTGTATATCCTGCAAACACACAAAGAGAAGATTTAGGATCAAATTTGTTTGTTTTGTTGTCCCAGGTGTATGGAAAGCATTTGCAACCAAACACCCGCAACATTGAATAGTCAGGATGTTTTTTGAATAATCGGAAAAATGGAGATTAAAAATTTAAAGCAGATGATGGTAAGCGATTAATCAAATAAACAGCGGATGTGAAAGCCTCCAGTTAATCAAATACAGCGGATGTGAAAGCCTTCAGCCCAAAGAAATAAGGGTAGCTTTGAAACATCATTGACATTCCAAGTTCCCGAATCATGCGATGTCGTCTTTCCACAACTCTTGATTGTTCGGGTGTATGTGGACAAGAAAGTCGATGAACAAGACCTGTTTTTAAACAATGTTCAGCCATTTGTTTATTAACAAATTCACTTCCACCATCGGTTTGGAGAATTTTTATTGCAGCGCCAAATTGACGCTTAATATAATTCTCAAATGCAACAAAAGCAGTAAAAAAATCAGATTTTGCACGTAAAGGTAACAACCACATGAATCTCGTATAATCATCCACAAGACAAGCATAATACCGATATCTAGCAATAGACAAAAGTGGTGCAGGACCCCATAAATCACAATGAACCCGTTCAAACATAGAAGTAGTAGAAATTGTACTTGTAGTAAAAGGAAACTTGCTAAATTTGCCTAATTGGCAACTATCACAAATCTTATTAATTTTAAGTGGACCATCAACACTAATAAGGCCCTTATTTGATAACCTAACAATAGATGAAGCTTGAGAGTGTCCAAGCCTTTGATGCCATATATCAAAGCCTTTGATGCCACTTATATCAGGCACGAGTGTCCAAGCCTTTGATGCCATATATCAGCACTGCACGATCGAAATCGTTGAGAGAAATTCGCCGTTGCACGCCGATTAGGAAGTATATATAGATCATCCTTCTTTGGGCCCTCCAAAATTACCTTCCCTGTCTTTCGATCCTTTAAGAAAACATTACTATTAGTAAACTCACAGTTTATAGGATAATCACTTGTCAATTTTCCCACAGATAACAAATTCTTCTTCATTTGTGGAACAAACAAAACATTATTTAACTTTATATAATTTCTATTGTTTTCCACACATGAATCACCAATTCCAATTGATAGGAATCATGGTACCATTACCAATTATTACTAAATCATTATATTGATTTAAGGTAGAGAACATACCTTGATTTGCAGCCATATGGTCAGTAGCTGCTGAGTCAGCAGTCCAATCGGTGTCCGTAATTGTGTTATCCAAGGTCAGGGCTGCCAAGGCTTGTGGAAGCTTTGCCGACTGATCAGCAGCACTAATCACCCACCAACAGATCTTCGCAATGTGTCCCTGTTTATTACATACCTGACAGATTTCATTGCGGTACAGTTCCCTTTCTTCAGGTATCATACGACGAAGACCAGGTGGTAACGTCCTCCGCTGTGTTTGCTGCGACTCAGGCGCGCCTCCATCAGCCTTGCTCCCACGTTGCTGCGCCTGAAAACCTCTACCGGCTGAAGAGAAATTCACGTTGCTTCGACTGCGCCCTTGATTATTGTTGTAAGAAGAAGTGCTGTAAAATGCCAGGTGCGTCGGCTGGGAAGCACTGAACCACATTCACCGTTGATCAAGATTCTGGAGTTGCGAGATCATCTCCGTATACGATGGTCTAGGTGGCTTCAACATAGTTGTGGTGAAAGTTTCATAATCTGGCCCAAGACTAGTTAGAAGACAGTAGACCTTCTCCTGATCAGCCATTGGCTTACCGATTGCAGCCAAATTATCACATAATGACTTGAATTTCCGAATATGATCGCCAATTGAGACATTGTCATCCTTACGTAGATACGTAAGTTGCTGCCTCAAAGTAAATTCACGTTCTTGTGAATCTTTGGCATAGGCTTCCTTGAGTGCCTCCCAAACTGCATAAGCAGTATCGAGACCTATGACTAACCCCAAGGACTCTTCAGAGAGCGTTCCAACAATCCACCCTCGAAGTAGCCTGTCAGATTTTTGCCAAGCTTGGTTTGTTTGTTTTCCTCAGAATTGGTTGTTCCAACGACAGCAGTTGGGGGTTTGGTGGTTAAATGATCATAAAGTTCTTGGCTTGATCATAAAGTTCTTGGCTTTCAGCTAAACCAATGACCTGCTCCCTCCATAACAGGTAATTAGTTTGCGAAAGCTTCAAGGTAACAAAGTTGCTTACGTTCAAGGAAGAGGTAGCCATGATGAGAGTGCGAAAACAGAAGCATAAAGGCTCTGATACCAAGATGAAAAACAGAATTTGGAGAGAAAAAAATGAACGAAAAGTGTTGTAATTATTATTGAATGTTCTGTATTTTTTCTAACATAATACAAAAGCAATTGTCTTTTTAAACTAATATTCTGCTAGGAATTAAGCTATTCTAGGACTCCTATTACAACACATATTCTTTAATTATTAAACCTTATCACTCCTATAAATCAGCCTTATCCCTCAATTATTTACTCAAATCGGCTGCCTTGGGGATTTCTAGAATAATGTACCTTATCGCTCCTTAATATTCTATTACTATATAGAGCTTTATAATATTTAGTTGAATAAATTTCTCTAGAATTTAATTTTATGCTTTAAGCAACTAAAATCTTTCCGGGATTTTCATATAGATATCTACATCAAGTTAGCCATATAAATAGGCATCCATTAATTCATTGGACGCATTTCGAGTTTTCATAAATTGTCAGACTAATCAAATATAAAATTATAATTGCATCCACCATATGAGGGTATTTATCTTCACAATCAATGTCAGTTTTTTGCGAAAAACTTGTGCAACAAATTTGCTTTACATCTCATGACCCCATTTCAATTTCACACAAATACATATTTATATTCTACTAGCTTGACATCTCTTGGTGCCCATATTAAATTTTCAAAATTTACTTTTCAAGTAAATTAAATATCATATGCGTTGTTCTATTTTTGGCTAATCAATTATATATCTATATTCTCAATAGACTAAACTCAAGATCCTCATTTTTTCACAATATCAGGCGCTATATTATATACAAAATATGGTCGACGTTTATTTTTTATCAGTTCTATACTTGTCCTAACATGACATAATTTATAGAGATCTCATAACATTTATTGATTTTAGGTATCTGAGTTTTTTTAGAAAACTTATTAGTCATGTCTAGAAAATTCTTACATAATTTGCTCTTCTAGAGCTTGACCATCTTGAATATTTGCTCGTTTCCTTTTCTAGGATTTTTATCCTTGGAACCAATTAGTCTACCACGCTTCAGGCGTGCCTTAGACTCATTAGCATAGGCAGTTTGTCCGTCAGGAATTTTAATTCTAATAGGAGCATTTTTAGCTAGTACGTGAGATTTAGTTATCTCCTTTCATCTAATAAATATATCTGGCAACTAATTTGCAACATTTTGCAAATGAATTATCTTTAAAACTTTTAAATTCACACTACCTTGTATGAGAAGGATCAAGATATAATAACAATAATTTTTTTCCAATCAATTGTTTTTCTAACTGCTTATTTTTCTTCCCCTAATATCGAGATCTATAACAATTAGCAAATTTGACATATATAAATTTCTTATTCAAAAGCTTTAAATATTTAATTATAGATCATTGCCCGACATATATTTTCAACCTCCTTTTGAGGATCCATCTTAATGCGCTATAATGGAGAAATTAGAACATATATCGCACATTTAAATATTTCTCAATGGGTAATATTTGGTTCGTGATCTAAAAACCAATTATAAAAAGTAGAACTTATAATAACTTATTGGCTTGATGCGGGTAAGTGCTATTAAATTTAATAGCATGTCCCTCTTAAAATAGGGAGATTCGTTCTCATAATAATTGTCTTGCAATTAATTGCAATCATGTATAAATGATTCTACTAAATTATTTTTGAGCATAAATAAAAGCAACAACAAGTTGCTTTATAATTATTTCAATCAACACATGCAATAATCGTTAAAGGCCGATGTGTGAATTCACTATCATTCTCAAGATAAATTGTCTTAATAGCATAATATGAAAATTGTATTTTTAATCAAATTATTTGCGCAAATAATCATGCAGACTTCTGGTAACTTCAGGTTGTAAGTTAATAATAATAATCATGTAACTATCTTTTGGATGCATCCATAATATATCCAAATAAATTTATCAATAATTTTCCTTTATATATTCTAGAAAATAGAAACAGTTCAATTTGAACTCTTGGTGATTGCTTAATAATTAATTTGCTTTAAAAATAAACTAAACATGAAAAATTCATTACAATTGAAGAAACTTCTGGTTTTTCAATAAATATTCATATAAGGATTAAATTTTCTTTTTGCATCATTATTAATCGGGATGGTCCAAAACTGATCATGTGAAATAATAAAGTAATAATAAAGTACTTGGATTTGCAAACTTCTAATTTACAACCATATTTATTTCGATCATTATCTCTATGTGATATCCGTTTTGAGAACATCTTTGAAATAATGCATTATGCATTCATTTTTCTTGGTAGTAATACTAGCTCTTCTAGAGCCTTTAAATATTTGCTCTTCTAGAGCCTTTAAATATTTTTCTACTACCGAAGTCAAATTTGTCTTTCAATATTTTAGTGTACAATAAGTACATAATCAATATCCACATATGTCACGTTATTTGTACCACTTTTGGTGGTAAAATTTAGTCTTAGTTATTGTCACGACCCGATTCCATGGGCCGGACCGGCACTAGGGCCCAGGTAAGCTTAAGGCCCCCGAGGCCCGTAGTCAGCCTGAAAACGTAGAAATCTATTATCTCGGTATAAATATTCAACATTTCAGCCCATATGATATGAAAAATAAACCTCAATATTTTATATTTTCTCGCCAAGGTTTACTCCTTACAGATTCCATAGTTCGGCCCAATTAACAATACATTTCAACATTCTAATATGGGCTTAACAGGATTAATTGTCTATGTTAATACACCGACTAAAATATATATAAATCTTACAACTCCGAGTCACTTAAACTGTTCGTATACATGGCTTTTTATACACATAATTAATAGTAATAAATAATTAATGGAACTAGGAAAATTCTCTATTGCCCTGCCCGCCGAAGAAACATAGCCTAAATCGAATTAAAGAAAAAACTTACTTCCTGAAAAAAAATCAAACCAAGACATGTTGAGTTTTCTAAGAGTAATAATTATTGCACAACACACGCAGTCACACAAATATGTAAACATTCAATCTATCATCCGGACTAGTTATATGCTCACGGCAGCCAGTCACCACAAATGGCACCATACAGCACCTCACACGTAATGTCACCTTCAAGTAATCAAGCAAGTGGTAATTAGTCAGGTGCACCAGCCTGAAAACCCCAAGATGAGCCATCCTCCCACATGGCTCATCCACTCACGTGTGCACCAGGGAGTCAATCCGCCATTCTGGCCGACCAGTATAATCCTCACACGACCAGTCCTCTCATTGTTTTTCCAGTCTCTCTTTTCCTTTTTTTTTTATACCAACAGCAGGCAACCCTGTGGTTTTCCATATCATACAGATCATAATGGTAGGTGCACACGGGGGCGCCGATCTCCCATTTACCAGGCTAACAGTAATCATAATCAGGAACGGTAACGGTCTCACAAACCCATGTTGACCCACTTAATCCCAATTCCAATCAAACAAGGCATAGTAATATCACATCACAGGTAATCAAGCAATTTTTAATATCAACAAAAATCAACAAATAGTGTAGCACAGTATGGCAATTCAACAAATTAATGCATGATAGCATTTAGCCGTGAATGAATGAATGCAAGGATGCAGGCGGATGATACTAGTTATCTAACACTACTCACAGTTCTTTATTGTCCTTAATAGGACCCTCTTTATTATTGCCCGTTCTCAGCTTTTGTTTCGACGTTAAATAAATTACCATTAAACAATAAAACAGACAAACAATTGAAAATAAATTAAATACTTAAATAATTAAATGAATTAATAAAAGATAATAAAATAAATAATTTTAGCACTCTATTATTATCATTAGGTTTATAGATTAATCTAAATAACTTTTTAATTATTGTTATTAATTTAAAACTAGTTTAATTCTAAACGAAAGAATTTCAGCAGCAGCCTCCCCTATAATTTGGACTATCCCACCTGTGTTAGATAACCACAGTATATTGATATATTTCTCAATCAATACACACAACCCATCCGCCTCCAATAGGTATAAACACCAACAAACCATAATTTACAAATTAAAATACTTTCAACTAATCTAGGAATGTTATCAATTAATTTCTTGCTTAAGTTATGTAAAATATCATTAAATATTTATTACATTAAACATTTATTAAAGTTCTAGACTAACTATTAAGAACTGACATTTCAATTAAATTACAATTTAATAAATACTTCTACTAGATAACCCAGCTCAAAACTTAAACATATAACTAAAGCTTCATAAATTTCTCCGTCTTGACATAAAGATACCACTTCTAGATATAGCTAAAGAGTTTTACAATTGAATCGTTAAATTTGCAAGAATATTACTATCAATCAGTAACCAACACTAACCAACATAAGAGTATTGAAAATATAAATATACATACATACTTCTGTTTCCATACCAATTATTTAAAATGGTACGAAGTACCTGAAATAGCTACTGTGCCCAAGAAAAATATATTTTTCCTTAAACTTGAGCTCATATCGCCTTCATATCGCATTAAGAACTTGGTTTATGACTTCGCATATTTCATCCCAAACACTATAATTCAAGAATCAAACTACTAAATGATTTACGCTAGCTCAAAGAATGCAAGTTTTCAATTTAACCCATAATATAATCCCCAGGTTTTTGCCACATTTTTTGTTTTTTTTAATAAAAATTCATTTATATACTCATTCAAACTTGGAAACAATTCAATTCCTCCTTCCTAGGATATCGAGAACTTTGACCATTATAGCTAACTATTTATTATTAT